TAAAACATTTGTACACCTTTAAATTTTCCCACATTTCCATAAATCTCTATACATGTACCATAAACTTAAATTTCTAGCACTCATATCTAGCAATCCTAAAAAAATATGGCAGTATGTTTATGTAAATTTGCCAAGCATAAAGAAGTGCATATATCATAACATATCATATAATGCCAGAGATAAATGATGCAAGCTTTAAGCTAACACCTTACATTAATATACACTTTGATCCATACTTTTGTCATTTGTTGCAGGAAATATTTTTATAGGCAGGAGGCATCATCATCATCATTGTCAGTTATTATTACTAGGTATACCTTTTTCAATTTACACACTTTTTTATGTGCATCCATACAATATTGTTATTTTTCATTGCTCATCATAAAGACATGCATGCTTTTTTTAACGCGGAAAGTCTACATGTTGAAAGAAGAATGCTAGAATGTGAAAATTTATTAAAATGTTCCAAGCAATTTATCATAAAAATCATCTGTGACATCCATCAAGTAAATCTAGCATAGCATAATAAAAGTGATCATTATTGTCACGGTCTTACTTTCTTTTCCTGCAAAGTCAAAGTTTTGCTTTTTTCTACACTGAAACCAACATCGGCAAAGGCAAATAAGACGTAGAGTCATAAAATCATGAGCAAAGAAGACAAAAGTGCGCGAACGAGAGACAGAAAGGTGTAAACTACATTATATTATAATAATTTATGAAAAATGAGGAAGGCAAGCGAGACCTTTTCTAATGATATTATATAAGAAGTGAAAATACCATCAGAGGAAGTGAAGAAAATTTCTCAATAATAAAAATTATGTGCTTACTCATGCATTTTCCTTTCAACAAAAATGTTGAAGCGCTATAAAATTCCTTTTTGTATCCTTTTTGTTGCTGAAACATTCATTTGTGTGTGTATGTGTTCGTAAAACACAAGATTATCCTTCCACTTTTTTTTCGGTTGCTCTCTTCCTTACATGAGAACTTGTTTTCTTATTCACACAATAATAATGGTAATAATGTGATGATATTTCCTTAAATCTAATCATACAGTATAATATATTCAAAAATAAATTTTTATTTTATTTCCTTTCCATTTAGCTTAAATCTAGAACTGATAAATATTTGAATGAGTCATGACCACTCCTTTTTGTATCGATATTTGTTTTTGATTGCCTTTATTTAGATTTAGACTGGATTTAGAGGAGGAAGGAGAACAAAAAGGAAGAAGAATTCATTTTTTATTATGATATTTTAAAATGACTAGTCATTGCGGTTACATTCAAGATCTGATTGTTGTTTGTGCATAGATATATAAAGAAAATATTATAGAAATGGAAACTAATGAAAAAAGTTTTTTGAGGAAGTTTTCATTTAAGTTGCCTAATCTTTCTGCAATTGAAATATTGACAATAGATAACATTTATAAGGACTAGATGCAACAGTATCCTAGTTTACTTCAATGATATCAGATTAATAGAAGCAAAAGCAACTGTGATATTTGGATACCCTATAACTCAAAGGTAAGATCTTATAAAATCATAAAAAGATTTACTAATCAAAATTTAATCAACATGATTATTTCCCTAGTCTTAAAATGTAATAAAAGTCAAAGAAAGATCGCATCATGCCTTAATAACGGTTCTCATCGCTAGGCATTGTAATGATGTAAATTGAATGAAATAGAAATATTGTAGGAATATTGAAATAAAAGAAATTGATAGGAATATAAAAGAAAATAAAATATTGCCGAGATTAAGCTCAAAACAGAAAAAATTTCTTCTTTATGCTCGCAATTTATCTTTTTTAGTTTTCATCCATTTGTAGAAGAAGCAATTATTTATACCCTTGACAGAGATTTCCAGTTGAATGAAGTGTTAATTTACTACGGATATTCATTTCAACAATAATGTATATCCATACTTACAAACATTCATTCATTCAAACGAATAAAGGGCGATGTAAAAGAACAAGAAAAATGTAGCTAGTTACTTACTGACTCACTTAGATTTCATTATGAACTTACTATGGACGATATTAATTATCTCTCCTTGTAATTCTCATTCATTTGTAACATTTCTCACAACCATTCATACACAGAGCACAAGAGTGAGCATTTGTTTCAGCTGGTTCGTTTGTATGAGAAAAACATTACAAATAAATCTGAAAATGTCGAGAGCATAAAGCATTAAATTAACTGTAACAACTTTCTCATCCTATTCTCATAAATGATAAGAAATATTCCTTCACTTTTTGACTTTCATTCAAGATGTTTCTTCTTTTCAGATCTCCTTTCACTTTTTGAGTCACGCTCAAAAGTTTTATTCTAAAAAATTTCAATCAAAATTTGTCTTTTTTGAAAGTAAACGACAAATAGATGAGGAATAATATTGAAGACATTTTTTATTGTTTTTGATTAGGAATTGTACACAAATGTCGTCCAATTATTTTAGGAGGAAAAGAATTTGTATTAGCTGTAATATTCTTAAGTAAGGATTTGGTGACAGATCAAACAAAAAAAAATCACCATTTAATAATCCATAAAAAAATTAATGTCTAATGAGATTTTAAGTACAACTTGCACATCATTTATGAAGGACCCTCTGCTTATAATGAAAACTTGCACCCCCGATGATATTATTTTATCAAATTAATGAACTCATCATCATCATCTCTCAAGTTTGTTAATGAACTTCTTTTGAGAAACGTCTACACAATCTAAAGATGTCGTATTATTTTTCAATTGAAAACGAGAAGAAAATGAAAAATCTAAAAATAAGGAGGAAACGTTTAAATGAATGAATCAAAGAGACATTAAAAGGCGGTCACGAAGGTAATTTACGATAAAAACGACCCATCTATTATCATCAATTTTTCATTTTACTGTTCATGTAGAGATATCGACTTCCATCAATAAAAATACATACCGAGATGATATCAATTTAAAGGAAGAAAAATGAAACGAGAATTTATTGAAAAAGTATTGGAAGATTTCTTTCAAACGTATATATTTTTATATCTTTGCTCTATTATGCGCCCTTCTCCTCCACAAGATCCCCTTCTTTCAATTTTCTGTATATCGAGAAGAAATATATCAATTTCTTCCACCAAAGCACAAATTGAAAATCAAATCACAGATAACTTAAAAGACTCTCGAGACTAAAAATTTATCAAATTTATCCATTAGAAATTGGTAATCAAATTTAATATTCTGGAAAGGTTTTTTCCTTCCTTCTATCTCTTCTTACTTCTATTTTCTTGACTTTTTTCAGTTCCTACTTTTTATCCTTGTGTAAAATGCTACAGCAGTTTTCATAAATCAATGATTTCAATGGAAAAAAAATTTATTGAATCTTCAGGATGTAGAATAAGAAGACAGAAAAGTTCAAGTAAGAAAAAATTTATCGTTATAGATTTATGCAAGTAAATGAAGACTTTTACTTCAAATCTTACCTTTTTCACATTGTTCACAATTGACAATCTCTTGGATTTTGAGAATAATAAAATATTATATTAAATAAAGTTTTTTAATATTTATTCTTATTGGTAAAATGAAGAAGAATTATAATCTAATGCTTTCTACGCTGTTGTTTCTTTCAAATGTTCAAAGGAATTTCTTTCAAAGGTAATGATTATTTTTAAAAAAAATTCTTTATAAATTTATTTATCTTAAATTGTGCAACAGTGTTACCAAACCTTTAAGCGCTACAATTTTATTCTAAAATCTATATTATATTCGCTAGCTTAGTGTGTAGCGCATAATCTTCACTAAGCAGTTTTATGTCCAGCAGCCAATTAAAAACACTTTAGATCTTAGATGTTGGCTCTCGTTTCAATTTTCAGTAGGTCACAATGTCTCTAGGTCCGTTCCATTAAAATCCCTCGTTGGTGATTTTACGGCTCCTTTATCTTTCTCATTGTGTCTCCATAATTCTTGACCCGTTCCTACATCTCACATCGCCTAATTCTTAGTTTTACGTCTTAAACTGTTGGACCTAAGAAGCCAATGTATCGAAACTTTTGAAAAATTACTAGGCTGGTGGTGGGATTTGAACCCGGGAGTCCAAATTCAACACCAACTTTTGTGAACTGTACCTTGCCAACTGAGCTATCAAGGAACTTTTGCTTCTTTAAAAAATTACTCAAGCCTTAGTCACAGGACTACAAATTTAAAAGTAATAAAAATTGTAAATTTGCTTAAAATATAATTATATTCTAGAATTGCTTTGCACACGTATGAAATTCCATAACACGCGGCTCAAATAATCAACCAGTCATAAATTTTAAATTTATTGTACAATTGTAGAATTGCTTTCTAGAAAAAGTTATGACAATATTATGAAAGCAGTAAACACAGAAATGTAAAATGTTTTCAAACCGTTAGTTTAAAATCTATCAAATACGAACTTATATTTCTTAATTTATTAATTAACAACCTTTTGCGCTTTACAGGTTGTTTTAAAATAAATACAGAGATGAAATCAGAAATTTGTAAAAATATTTATGGTCGTTCGCTTATGACGTCCAAAAGTAATGCTAGTTATCAAAAAAAGATCAATGTGTTTCTAGCAATTTCTATTGTTCTTTTTTTGCTGATCCCCCCCCCCCCCCCCTCACCCTAGACATCATAAGTGTTTGTTATTTATTATTTATGTGAGAACCGACAAAATATCTCTGATATGACAAACTACTATTTTTAATTAAACAAAATGCGCTTACATTTCATTCAAACGCACTCTACACTAGAAAAGCTGTTATCACCATGTGAAAGAAAAAGAACAAGTTGTATCTGAAATATTCAATTTTAGACATTATAGTCGTTTTTAATTGAAATATTATGCAAACGAATAAATTATTTGATAATTTCTTTTTCTTTTAGCTTTCTGCTTTTTTAAACTAACTGTATGTCTAGCAGAATTATTTAGTATTTGAAGAATTTTCAAACCGTCAACATGAAAACATTTGGATTCTGTGTGTTGTTTTACGTGTTGAGCTTAGTGATGTCAGATAGTTTAAGCAGATATAGAGAGAATATAATATTTAGTGCATTTTCAGATAGGTATGAGTTCCAGTTTATTAATAGATTTGAAAAATCAAGATAAATACTAAAGATTCTTATCAACAAGATGAAGAACCTCATCTTTAAAATAAGACATATTTAAATAATAAATATCACGCGGTTAATATTATTTCTTCCTTTTCTTATAAACTATTTAAGCTACCCCAACGGTACGATAACCCATATTAATGATGCTTTGGACACATTCAACTGTGATCCTCGAGGAAATACAACATTTGTTGTTCATGGATGGTTAGAATCTATTGACAGGCCTTGGGTCAGACCAATGATTAATGAATTTTTGAAGCTTCGTGGAAATTGTGTGTTTTTTATGGATTACTCTGTTTATTCATCAGGAGGTTATTTTGTGTTAACACCGCATTTCAATTCAATTGCCAATTTATTGAGTGAAAAAATTTTAAAAATTTCTGCACCACAAAATGTTGTGCTTTTTGGTTTCTCTTTTGGCGCCCGTTTAGTAACAAAAGCAGGTGTGCTCATTGCAAATTCGGAAGCAACAAAAATTGATAGAATATATGGTAAGCAAATTTTAATTTTTTTTAAATTTTTAAAGATTACATTTTGTTTCTGTTTAAAAGCATGTGACCCTGCTGGTCCTGGTTTCGATCCTGTATACAGACTAGATCCAAAAAGAGCAGCAAATTTCATACAATGTATTCATACAAGTAATACTTACGGAACAAAAGTATACAATTGTCATCAAGATTGGCGCATGGGTGTTTGTGGACATAAACAAATTGGAGCCGGTCCTTTTCCTTATGGTTCTCATGGACTGTGTAATAGACAAATACATTTTTATATACCGCATACAAATTACATATTCTTTTTAGGCCCATATTTTTTCCTGTCATCATTTTCCGAAGATTTTATTCAAAATAATGCACATGACTGTAGATCACGTCGGCTTCCAAAAGATTTTCCCAATGACTTGATTATGGGACCTAGAGAATCGAGACTTATGTAAGAAATCACGTAAGGGCTCGTTCACTTATTACGTTATCTAAAAAAATTTACTTTGTTTAAAATGTTACAAAGTCCTAGACATCCTCCCCTCCGCCTCAAACGTAATAAGTGAACGATCTCAAATATATTAAATGATGATAATTTCAAAATATCTTAATTTTTGAAGTCATGCTGGCGATTTTTTTGCACCTACTGCCAAAAGCCCTCCATGGTCAGGATTTATAGAGTCATCAAGGAAAAATGAAATCGACTTTTTTGAGGACGAAGATGTTTTTGGAGAAGAGTATTATAATGAACTGAAAGAATTATTTTAAAAGCTCTAAAATTCAGAAATTCGTTAGATAGTTGAAACATATCTCAAAATCATTAACATAACGGTTTTTTTATTTTTTAAATTATTTACTCCTTAAACGGTTTGAATTTTCTACCCCTTGATGCTTTACTCAAGCAATTTATGAAAATTAAGGTTTTAAAAAGTTGATAGATTTTGAATCAAAAAATTATCTAAAATCACAATTAATCACTTGTTTCATAAAAATCTATCGATCAAAAGATTTCTGAAGTTAAATTATAAGAATTTTTTTACTTTCATGTTTCTTCTTAACAGTCAAGAAATATTTTAATAATTTTGCTATTTATAAGAATTTCTACAGACTTACACTGTCTTAGAACTAAAGAATATTAATATTAATATAAAAATGTGTGTTCATTAAAGCATGTCAATCGATACTTAATGAGAAAATACAAAATTTATTTTGACACAGCAAAAAGTACAGTTTGGTCGTTTATTGAAAAACACAAAAATGTTTACATTTGGCGTACAACAGCAAAAGCAACAACAACAAAAAATTGATGAAAATCGAAAGTTGAACGTTTTAAGTATTTAATTTTAAAATAGTCTCAAAATAATTTAAGCAAATGAATCAATACTTTTATGAAGATCAAGTTTTTACTATTGATAAGAAAGGAAGTGTAAAATTTGGATTAGTTGTTGAGAATGAGGTGAGGAATGAAAATTTTCTTCCAGCAAATCAATTTCCATCGACTTAATATTTTTTTTTCATGAAATGTCGATAAATTTGATTTGTTATCGATAAAACTGATGAGAAAGTCTTTCAATATTGCATAATTTGTTCCATTCCATAGGTTCCAAGTGATGGAGAATATGAAAATCATACAGAAACTGAAAAATTTCTACGAAAAGGAGAGCTAAGGGTGAGTAAATTTTTGCTTCAAAGAAAATTCAAAAAATCTGATTAACAAGAAATTTCATTCGTTCTTCCGGAAATATTAAGGTTGTGTGGTATCCAGAGGGAAAAGACGAAATCATTTTGGAAAGAAATGTAAGTCAATTTTTCATTAAATCATTTTTTTGCACAAAGAAAATAATTTTTCGTTATATAACAAGGATGTGTGAAGGGATAAGATTTCTATCCTCTTTATAATGGGCAATAAAATATATCGTCATTGAACAAAAAAAAATCTTTATTTTTTAAGGTTGGATTAGCAGATAGAACTTTAATGCCGGGAGATGTTGTACGGCGAATGACAGAGAGTGACACTCAAAGAGGCTATTGTCGTGAAATACGAGTAAAAGCTGATCTGAAAATTTTAGGAAATTCTAGATATATTATTAAAGATGTTTTATCTGAGAGGCTTGTGCCACTTGTTTCAATTCCAAGAGACAATGCTGTATGCTTAAATGGTTGGGTTGGAAGCACAAAAAATATAGATGAAAAGCTAACATTAAGGTAAGATCATTAAAAATTTTAATAGTTTTTTTAATCAAATTATTTGTTTTTTTTTTAAACTTTTAGATCAACTTGCGGTTCAGTATTAGAGCTCCGCCCAGACATTGATTATTTTCCATTTAAAGATAAAAACAATCGATCGGTATTTTCTAGCAATTTGTTTTACGTTGGACAGCAGCTAATAGGTCCAGTATATGAACTTGATAATGCAAAGTGGATAATTCAAACACCGGATATGAGGACAAGTCGAAAGCATAAAGCTGAACGTAAGTTTACAGTTCAGTCTGTAGAAGTCGACGGTGTTTATGTTCATTGGCAATGTAAGGCTTCATGTGAAGAGAATTCTAGCTCAGGTGAATCAGGCATTCCAAAAAGCTACATCACAGGCGAGGATCTAAAGAAAATGAAAAGACTTAATTTATTTGAAAGTTGCATGTTACAAATCAACGATAAAAATTATCTCAATGTTGCTGAAAGCGACGTCATAGTTAGGAAATCGCAATGGAAAAAGGAGCAAAGTAATTTGACCTAATTATTTTAAATCATACACACTAGTATTGACTATTTTTCAATGACATTTTAGGCAATAAATATCGAATTTTAAGTAGTAGAACAAATCAAAATTTAGAAAACTCTGAGGCTTCAAACAATACTTACGAACAATATGATACCGAAAAATTTAAATTAACTGAATGTGAGAAGCAAAGTGTTAACGTACAAAATAAATTAAATGAATGTGATCGAACAAAATTATGTCCACAATCGAAAAAGTTTCTCGAAAGTGATGAGTGGCAGACAGAAGAAGAAGAGGATGAAGAAGTACTCTCTGATAGTGGAACAACGGCATCATCTTGTTCAAGTAATCCTACACCAAAAGGATCTCCAAAGAAATCACCACTTCTTTCGCACAAAATTAGAAAATTAAAAAAACATAAGCAAAGAGATCCAAAAGAAAGACAAATTCCGCAGATTGGTGATCGTGTGGTGACAGAAGTTTTGGTGGTTTATAGTTGGGCTACGGTTGTTTGGCAAGATGGCTCAATTGAGAAAGATATTCCATCAACAGAATTATGTCCAATACATCATTTGGATGATCATGAATTTTTTCCTGCTGATTTTGTTTTAGCAGCTAACGATTCAGCAAATTTTAATCCATCCTATCGCGATTATGGTGTTATTCAAAAAGTTGATCATTTAGGACGAATCGCTAAAGTTAAATGGTTTAGTACTTATACAAACATAGATGAACCAACGCCAATTTATAAAGGTGAATCTGAGGTTAGTGTTTATGATCTCAAAGATCATCCTGATTTTCAATACCGTCCTGGAACGATTGTAATACGTGTGGCAAATTTTCCGAGTGATCAGCAATGTGCTACAGCTGGACAAGTTGTCGATAACTATCCAGAGGGCAGAGTAAAAGTCTGGTGGGTTGATGGTACAGTATCGATGTGCTGGCCTCAAGACTTATTTGAAGTAGGACAATATGATTCAGAAAATAATTTTTGGGGAAATGGTGGAGATTCTGATGATGAAAGTTGGCAAACTGAGGATGAATTTAGTGAACCTGGCGGTATGCCACAACAACAGCATTTAACAGCTAATTTAGAACGAGCACGAAAGGCAATGGCAAGGTTAGAAGAACTTTTTATAATCAATCCTAATTTGCAATCACAGGAAGTGATGAAAAAACTTTTAATGGTCTATAAAAAGTGTCGTTACCTCGATCGATTAATGAATACTTCATTTTTTCACGAATCGAATTTTATGGGATTAGTAGAAAGAGTTAGAAAAGGAGGCTCACAAACAACTGCTGAAAGAGTGCTTGAGAAAAAGAATCGTTTATTCAATGAGACACCATTAAGTGGAAATATAGCGCAAAGTTCTGTAGAAAATACATCAAACACTGGAAAGACTTTAACAAAGAAAATTTCACTTTTAGAGGCTACAAAATCCTCGTCATCAAATTCAAATAGTCATGAAGATAATAGCAGCTACTGCAGTTTTGAAAGCACCAAATCATGTTTCCAGCCCTCAACACGACAAGCTAGCCAAGAATCACCAACAAAAAAGCAAAATCTTTTAGTTGTTGCCTCGGAAGCATGGAAACAACAAGGAAAGTTTCATTCAACATCATCAGATATATCTAGTATTACTGATGATAATCTTAAATTATCTTCATGCTCATCACCATCATCTGCTTATAAAACACCATCACCAAAGAAAGGTGAGGAGATTGAAAAGAACAGTACTGATTCTGGTATTCTAATTACATTAGATAATGGCTCATTGGAAAGCTCTAAACAAATTATTGAAGCACCGGAATCAAATTCCAGTAGTTTTGTTATAACTGTGTGCGCTAAGTTATGCTCGCTTATTAAAATTCAATTAGTGAAAGCCTTGCAGGAAATAAATAATCGCTATTGTCCTAGTGACACATTTAAAGAAATTGTTGAGCTAGAAATGGATTCCAAAGTTATTGCAAAAATTGATAGTGAATTTGAGGAAGAAGAAATATCTTCTCCTGATGAAGTTAAATCGTTTAATTTAACTGATTGTGCTGCAATGACGAAAAAAGAAGAATACAAAAACAAAACAAAGATAGAAGGTGAAAAATCGTGTATCGATAACTTTCAAGTTATTGATCATGTACCGAGTACGCACAAGTATCATTTGACTGTATTCCATCCAACAAATCCTCACTCATTTTATAAAGCTGTTCAAAAAGAGCACAAACTACTTAAAAATTCATTACCTAGTGGTGTTTGGACTATTACGTTTGAAGACCGTCTTGATTTGTTGAGCGTTCTTATTCAAGGACCGACTAAAACACCTTATGAAGATGGACTATTTGCCTTTGACATTCAATTAGGACATGATTACCCAAAGTCTCCACCATTGTGCCATTACATTAGTTATTGTCGAGATCGATTAAATCCGAATCTTTATGAAGATGGAAAAGTTTGTGTATCACTTCTAGGTACATGGTCGGGTCGTGGAACAGAAATTTGGTGTCCAAATAGCAGCACATTACTGCAAGTGATTGTTTCATTACAAGGACTTATTTTAGTAGATGAACCATATTACAATGAAGCTGGTTACGAAAAACAGAGAGGTAATCAAACATATTTATCCTTACATTTTTAGAATTAAATGATTGTTGTCCAATTATCAGGTACTCAACAAGGTAAAGAGAACTCTCGAATGTACAATGAAATGGTAGTCCTTAAATTAGTTCAATCAATGACGAAATTAATATCATCACCACCCGAAGTATTTGGTGATATTATACAAGAACATTTTCGTAGAAACGGTGAAAATTTTTACTATCGAATCAAATCATGGATGGAGTTGAGTGGGAATAACTCTAATGATGCTTGCAAATCTTCAACCAGTGAAGGTAAAATAATAAATTTTATATTTTATCATACATTTTCTAATTACGCAGTTTTACCTAATAGGAAAGTGTAGCGCTATTTCTAAACCAGAATTTCCTCTTATTCCGGCCTCAAAGGGATTCTGCTTAACATTAGTTACAGTTCTAGATGGATTTTATCAAAAACTTCATGAAATTAAGGCAGTTTCATAATTTTTAATTTAGCAAATTGTTACCTTTTTTGGCTAAAATAATGTTTAATGCACAAAAAATTACTACTATAATAAGATTTGTAATTTGGCGAAGAAAATTGTTTTTGTTAAAGTTATGATTTCGATGTTTGATAAACATTTTTGGATTACTAGGCAAATAAACTAAAATATGAGATTATGAAAACAGCCTTAACACCATAAGAAGAGATCTTAAAGTTATTAAAGAACGAAGTAGAGATTTTTAAAATAAAAACTTTTGCTATTAAAATTAGACGATATGAAATAAATTAGCAATTATAAAATAAGCTCAACTAACAATTAAAATCAATTTCGAATCGAAATTTAAGTCAGATAAATACTTAAGACATAAATGAGAAAAGATTTTTTGTGCCTTTTAGTTTGACAGTATTTAAATAGGATGATGAAAAATAAGGAAAATTAATTTCAATTTATCATTTTAGTGAAACTTCGAACTAAGCAATAAGTAGCTTTTTTATTTTATTTATCATAGTTAATAATTTGCTTGCTTTAGCTTAAATATTTTAAAATATAGAGACACCATTATAGTAATTATAATTTTTTTCTGAGCGGTTTTTAAAAAGCGGTAATAGTTTAGATTGATTTTAAATTAATTGTTTAAAGCAGTCTTGCACAAATTGTAAACCGCGATACTTAAGTGTTACATTACATTTTCGAATTTTTAAGTACCAAAGATATCGTAAATTTTATTACATTCTTTAAATTCTATTTGTCGTCCACGACTGCATTAAAAACGACTTAGAGCTTTTTTTATACAAAATTTAATATTTTTTCTTTAAAGCTATTAGTCATTGAACAATCCAATTGCTGATGTATGTCTTAGTTCAATAGTCTTAGTTAGACAATTTTCTTAAACAATATCCAACGTGACTTTACTATTTTGCTATAACACATTTAGATACTATATGCTTTACATCTAATCAAAACACTCAGGAAAAAATTATAACTTTTTATATAAACATGATCAAAAGTGTCTCATATTCTAGACTTTTATACCGTTGATTTAAACTTGCAATACTCAATCACCATTCCAAAGAATAAACTGTTGACTGTTATTATGCATTCACATTTAATCATTAATTTAAAAAATACCTTACTGATATATTAATCAATAATTACTTATTTACACTGAGAAAAAAACTTTTATTTTTTATTCTTGTATTCACAAATTTTAAAACAAGTATCAAGTCATGGTTCGCAACATTGAACAATTTTCAAAGATGTTAAAAAATTAAAGTCTTGTGTAATTCCATGCTTCATTTTAAATAGACTTACAGCGCATTAAATTTCTAAGATTAGCTTCTAAACTTTTGTCAGAATTTTCATCCTTTTTAAATTTTATTTTTTTTGTTACAATTTTTTGTAGATGATCAGAGCTTTATTTTGAAAAAAATTATCTAAAACTGCAAATTCCAAATTAAAATAAAAATCATTTTCAAATAAATAATCTATCAAACGCAACAATAATATTTTATACTAAGTAATTCAAAAACTTCTTTCAAAGATCTCAAAAGAAGTTCAACTAAATAAGCAACAATGAAATTAATTATTACAAGAGGCTTTTGTTCCGTAAAATATCATATAGAGAATACTATCACCATGTACAAATTATTTTTAGCACAATTATTAGCAAACAGACTTAAAGTATAAAACAAGTAGAAAATTAATTTGTGTATCTAATTTATTTATTTATTGCTTTGCGAAAATTTATTCCAAAATGTTTAACTTATAATAGTTAATCATAGTTTAAACCAGGTTTGATGTTTGTAAACTATGAAGACATCCAGGAGCGTAACAGGTGGAAAAATCTTTTTATAATTTAATTAAAAATTAGATTATTATTCTTAATTTAAGCTTATGAAAAATTTTCAAAATTTTAACACACCACGAATACTTCAAATTAATATTTTTGATGGAATAGAAAATAGTTTTTAATCGTAACGTAGCTAAATATCTGGTAATGCATCGGTTATGTTACTATTAAAGATCTTTCGTTAGAGGATTTTTTTATATCGACTGCGGGAAGGAGCAATTAACAGCAAGAAAGAGCTATATTTTAACATTTAATTCAAAAACGTTTTTTCCGTAACTTAACAATTAAACAACGTTTTAGTTTTTTTTTAAAAAATATATTAATACCGAAATCTTGAGAATTATTTGCTACATAAAGTTATAAATGATTTTTTTGGGAAAAATTTATTAAACTCTTTAAAATAAATAAATTTTGTATTTTTCTGTGTCTGAAAATCGCTGATGACGAGAAAAATGTAAGAGTTAATGATTTTTATATGTCTATCGATTTAAATTGATAAATATGAGAAAAAAAAGTTAATAATCTATTAATAAGCTGTGCCTCAAAATAATATCTAGTTAAAATGCTCGCGAGAAACACAATAGTATTGTAAAAATAAAAGAAAGCAAAACAAAAAGAATGAGAATGCGTTCAATTTGTATGTCATTCATATGCATCCAATATTAAGGAGAAAGAAAAACTTTTGACTCATAAGACATAAAGCCGAAGTTGGAAAAAGGAAAGTCTATTTTAATTTTTGTCGTTAAACTTTTTTGTAATGTAAGTTTTTTTTTAAATTTTAGATGACTGCGAAAAATAAATAAAATTTTAAGCTTCCTTCTTTGGAAAATTTTACTTGATTTCCTTCAGGAAAATCAATCTTTTTGAAACATTACAAAAATAAAGTAAATGAGTTTTGAGCTTTAGAAAAAAAATGAGCATACCATTCTATACATGAGAACAAAGAGATTTTTAAGACAAGAAACAACAAAGATATTAATCAAGTGGAAGATAAAAAGACAGTTGAAATTAAAATGTAATAAAAGAATTAAATTTTCCTTTAAGAAAAGGCCGAAAAATCAACAGAATTTTAACTTGGTGTTTCGAGTTTCAATATTTTTAACTTTTCAGGAAATTTATTCATTGGTAGTGCTGAAATTTTGTGAATGAAAAATAAACAATTCATACTTTTAATTATTTTTAATATTTTATTCTCATTCTTCAATTTTTGAATGAGATTTTTTTTACATTTTTTGGATGCTCGTTAAATAATAAAGTTTAATATTAACTTCAAACTTAAAATCATTTCATCTACAGATCATATCACATTTTGATTGTGAGTTTATGCTTTCTCTTCTGTAGAAGCTGTGGCAACTGATTGTACATCACTCACTTCTGCTGGTTCACTCGCACAAGCTAATGATGGATATTTCTTCTGGAGAGCAGCACGATATTTTGGATGACTGATGCCATAAACAATTGGGTTGTAGACAGCATTAGCCTTGGCGAATAAACTTCCCCAGATTGTTGCAAGTGGTGTGATCTTTGTACTTGTAAGAACTCCAGTGAAGTTGATGATCAAGTATGGTGTCCAGGCCATGAACCACAATGAGATTGTCATCAATGCAACTTTAGCCAATTTACATTCGGCACTTTGATTGACATTTTCCGATGATCTCAAAGATGCAACATTCATTTTCTTGGCTTGTTCACGCATATTTTTCTCATGAGCAGAAACAGCTTGCAAGATGAAGAAGTATGAGTAGATAATTGAAAGAAGAGGTGTCCAGTATACGAAGAGAGCATAAAGCAAAATGTATGAACGCGTGCTCCATTTATGTGATAAGTAATCAGTTCCGCATGCTGTCATGTTTCCTTCTGGAACATATCTGCACCATCCAAAGAATGGAGCACCAGTCCAGATAAGAGCAAAGAACCAGATGATTGCAATTCTGACCATGGCATCACTCTTTGTCATTGGCTTGCCTGAAAGACCCTTTACGATAACATTGTAACGATCGAATGCAATCATGGTCATAGTCCAAATAGAAACACATCCAAACAATGATCCAGCAGCGGCATACAGTTGACATGCTAATGGTCCATATATCCATGTTTCATGATAACAACTCATAACCATAGGCGGTCCCATAGTAAACATCATCAAGAAGTCAGAGAAAGCCAAGTTGACAACCAAAAGATTTGAAGGCGTACGAAGTGATTTGGTAGATGTGAAGACGCTAATTACAACATAATTTCCAACCATTGAGACGATACCGAGACAGAAGATGGTGAATCCCAAAATTGAATGCCAGAGAGGATTCATTGGTGGAAATTGTCCCCAGTGGTCACTTACTAGATGACGCATTTCTGGTCGAACCAAGTCTAAAACAGTGATGTTGCCACCAATATTTCCTGATTGATATGCTGCAAAGGCTGCCATTTTTATTAATTTTTTTGAAATTTCACTTTTGAAAAATTTAAATGATTTAAAATATTTTTATTTTGATAAAAGTTTTTTCACTTTGATATGAGCTGAAGAAAATCGTTTATTAACGAACTACTTCAAGCTCTAATGACTAGTCACAATGAAAACCAAATCAAGCTTGAGAATATGTGGAAAATTTCTTCATATTTATACAGAACAAAACCAATAGTAATTTTTAATTTAATTATATTTCTTTAAGTTTTTTAATCCTTTTTGCATTGGAACTTAAATTTTTTTTCCGATTGTTTATTTTCCTAATAGACAAAAGAGCACATTAAGAGTGTCTTCAATTTTTCGCTAAGTGTACTTTCGTAAATTTGCTGTTTCATACAATTTTTTTTGCATTTACATAACGCATAGAAGCATACTCGCTGATTAAGCTCTGAGCATACTTTTTCAATGAATTTTTTTAATTTGTGCATTTGTCAATTGGATTGAATTGAACAACGCTGTAAAACAAGAAATTTTAAATTTTGAAATACAGTTTCTGCTGATAATCATACTCATGACCGCTGAATGTTTGATGACACGAAGACGATGCCCTCTCCTCCACTTAACTGGATCACTTTATTTGATTAATATAATTTGGCCAAAAACAAATAAAAATCCAACAAAATATATTATGTGAATTATGAAAAAAATTCAAATATAATTTTTGGGCACTTTCAAAATTTGATAATTAATATGCTGAAAAATAAAACCTAATTTAAAAATATAAAAATTTTTCCATGAAAGATACATCACAAGAGACAATTTTTGATTGCGAGCATAC